GTGAGTTTGTGTGTGTGTGTGTGCGTGTGTGTCTGCGAGCGGGTGCGCGGGTGCGCATCTGTGTGTGCACATGTATCTATGTGTGTATATATATATATATACATATATGCACATGTATGTGTGTATATATTTTTTATGCGCACATGTGTGTAAATATATAGATATACACATGTGTATGTACATCTATCTCTATTATACATATATCTATATTTGTATATACTGCTTGTATATTCAGTAGTTGTACTTACTGTCCGTGTGAAGAAAGAGTCCAGAGTGGTGCGTATGTATGTTATGTATGTTATGTATGCATGTATGTCAATGTATGTATTGTGCACGTTTACATCACACATTCTCGGATGCGTGTATATAAACAGACAGGCTACATGTCGACAGGTCACTGCCATCCCGGATCCCGTTTACTGGGGGCCACCGTCTTCACGGCCGTTGGCGAGACCAGGCCCACAGAGGAGGTGTGTGCCTCGCAGCATGGACTTCATGAAGGAATTGAGGCAGTGAGGGCTAAGGGTGTTTGTTTCGTTTGGAGGCCCTCATCCCAAGCAGTTGCAGTCGGACCGTTGGAGAGAACTGAAGGTGTGGGGTTTGAGGTCGAAGGCCTGGCTAGGGAGCAGGGGTAAGACTGTTCCGATGTGCCCGACGCTCAGAGGATGCCCAAGGCTCCCACGGCTTCCATTTCGACCACGGAGTCGCCGAGAACAACTGGAAAAAACACACGCAGAAACCACATCCAACTCCGCCAACACAAGAAACCTCTGAGCCGTCGGCTCAGGTGCATGCCCCCAGAAGCAAGCGCATTCGCCTGCCAGGACGACAAGACCTGCGGGGGATGCACCAAACTTCGGAACACCGTGGAAGAAACGGCTTACGGTTTAGGGTTCAGCTTGCCACCATCCGAATGTATGCAAGTGATCGCGAAGATATAGGACCCTCTTCCTGAGATTGTCGTTGAAACTCGCCTCGAAACCGCAGTTCAAGACGCCCCATTGGGATCATCATGCCATCATCGAAACAAAGGCAACACGATAATCAATCTGGTATCGCATCGTCCGATTTGGTGCTGCACTCGTACGAGCCCGTCTGCCTACCTGCACATTAACATTTACATGCATACATGTGTACTGAACATAACATATAACATAACATGACAGAACATAAAATCACGTCACATCACACTCATCTCAGGCATCAGTCTTGCGTTCGCCGGCCTGGCGGAACGCCTCCCGCTTCCAAGCAAACACGTCACCAGGCCAGGTGCGCTCCTGAGTGAGCTTCAAAAAGGATCCCGAACCAACCTGTAACACGTTGAGAGAAGCACACAGGAATATATGTCCATGAATGTACATTGTATACGTATGTCATATGCCATATGTCTGATCATGTCGATGTACGGATAAGTCAGGGATCTTCAGAGTTGAAGCTGGATCGAGGGCTAAGGTTCTGCCGCTTTGCAACATGATGGGTTACGACTGTTTGCAAGTGTTGCTTGTTGAGCTTATCACGAGACCGTAGGACTTCAGGAGTTTGGATGCCAGTGCGTCCCGAGGGTCGAAGCGCCGTCGTGCCGACACGACGGACATGCGCGACCTGAGAGCGTCGAAGGATGACACCTGAACCGTAAATCCAGCCCTCACGGCAACTGCAGCGCATTAACCGGTCGTGCTTTGCCTGCTTGTAAGACTCGGACAGTATTGGAAGCACACGTGGCATGTAGCGCCGTGCGCTCTCGGTGACCCACATCCTCACAGCACGGCAAAAACCCCCGGCTCGAAGCAATACCACGCCTTAAGCACCACCAAGTAATCGCTGAGGCTGGTTCTCATCTGCGTTGGTCACGATGCAGGTCTCCCCAAGGCGCATGGCCGCCAGAAGCACCTGGCCAGCTGAAACCTACGAACATGCCCGATCCGGGCTGTCCAAACAGACACAAACATCGACTGCACTGACAAATTACCCCAGCAGATGGAAAAAAGGCAGCAGCATCTACGGACATCACACGACGCTGAGCAACAGCACATGACAGTGATCATGAAAACAAGAAATAGCAAGCAATCCTAAATCAGCAAGGATCGCTACAAGAACAGTATGGCCGTTTGAGACGAAAACGACGTACGACGGGCAGGAGCCTGCTCCACGAGGCTCTCGAGCTGGTTGTACTGATGCGGCCTGCAGTGATGGAGGAGTCTCGCTGGGGATGGGACTTCCCAGGGTAGACGTCTTATACCCCTCCCTGGCATGCATGGAGCTTTCAAGGGCAGCGCAGGAACTCGTTGGCGTTGATCGCTGAGCTGCACATCAACGTGTCATCCTCAGTCGCTGTCCCGCTTCACGCGGGGGCCCCAAAACAAAGCGGGAACTTCGCAATCCGGAAAAGAAGCAGGTGCCCAGTGCCCGGCCCAGTCAAAGATCAGCAACGTGAAGGGCTTGCCGGGGAAGCCTTGACAGACCGAGCCCACTGTGAGTGAAGCTGATTTTTGAAACCACTTTTGACTTTCGGCTGCATTGCTGTACAGTGCTGGACCATTATCATTACTATTATTATTATTATTCTTCTTCTTATTCTTATTCTTATTCTTATTCTTATTATTATTAATATTATGAACGTGACCCAAGAACAATAATACAGTCTTGGACCGAAAACATCGCTCAGCGCGCTCAGCGCGCTCTCGGGCACCGGCTTCCTGGCAGAGGCATGGGCGGCTGGTCCAGCGCCTCCATCCGGTAGCTGAAGCCTGCCCGGCAGACTCCTAAGCCCCTGGAGTCCTAGGTCCTAGGTCCTAGGACTTGGGGGTTTCCGAAAATAGGGGACCCTAATATAGTACCCTAAATAGTAGGATCCTTATTATAAGGACCCCCAAATAAGGTACCCCCTATTTTCGGAAAGTCCCACTTAGCCCTGAAGTCAAAAAAGTCGTGGCGCACTCGATGGCCACCGTCTGTCCCGATCGGCATTGAAATCCAAGTGGGAAAACCTCGCTGAAGACATCGTGCTGCAGGTACGTCTGTGCTTGTCGTAACGATCTCATTCAAAGACAGCAGCAACGCTGACGACGACGACGACGACGACGATGACGGAACAGCAACAAAAAGAGCAGCGGCAGGAACGCTGGAGTCAGCATCAGCTGAAGCAGAAGAACCACGACCTCATCGCAAACCTAGCAGCCTCAGCAGTAGCAGTAGCAGCAGCAGCAGCAGCAGCAGCAGCAGCAGAAGCAGCACTGGCTCTTGTCCGTCTCGCTCTTCTTCGCCCAAGTCATATTCTAAGCTTCATGCTTGTTCAGCACAGGCAATCACCACAAGCATTGCCATCCACCCGCACATGTTTTGTAAACATGCTTCCAAACATCAAGAAGTTCGCAGCGTTGGAGCAAAAAACACACGAAGTGATCGCATCAGCGAATGCACAACCGTGGATTGCGAGGGCTGAGGACCAATATCCGCAAGGCCGTGTATCACTCCAACGCCGCAATGATTTCAGAAAGGGACTCAAGTGTGGGCGACAAGAGATCCCAAGGTGGCTCTATGTGCAAAGAAGCGTAGATGCCAGAACGGATGTTTGAAATAACTGTCGCACCCTGCCATCCGTCACGGCTGAGCGGGTCGCTTGGGTTTTGATGGGATGGAACCCATTCGCGACACCCTGAGCGCTCGGCCAACCCAACACTCTGCTTCACTAGGAGTTTCGGGCAGGATCCCCCCGTGATTCACACAACATTCATGACAGACTCCTTATCTCTGCGTCGCCCTCTCTCTTCTTCCACACAGTCACAGGAAGGGCACAGCATCCTCTCCCACGCGCACGCGCACCCTGGTTCACTCAGTCTCGATGTGAAAACTGACAGCGACGAGGGCCGAGGTTTGCGAGCACAAAACCCCCTTTAATAACACTGGTGTGCGCGCTCTCTTTCTTTCATTGGGCATGGGGGACGGTCGAGGTCCCCCGGCCTAGTGGCCCCCCACTTGTTATGGGGCTTTGAGGGGACGTGAAAAGTACGGAACATGTAAGTCGCCCGCAGTCAAACTTCGGTATGATATCTACCACTATGATATCTACGATGCGCGCACTCTCTTCTTCTTCTTCTCCGGGGCATAGGGGCAGGTCAATGCCCCCGGGCGCCAGGCCCACCCAATGTTTTCGCGCACTCTCTATTCTATTCTATTCTCCGGGGCGTAGGGTGCTTGTCAGGCACCCCGCACCGTGAGGCGCACCCCTGTTGTGGGGCTTTGTAGGGGTAGAAGAAGAAGCTACGGACTCTCTCTCTCTCTCTTTCCCTTTGCTTTGCTTGCAGCCCCTTTCGAGCCCTTCATGCTGCCCGTCTTCAAGCGAGTTCCGGAAGCACAGTCCAAGCACAGCTGCTCGCTTCAAGTGACGCGGAGAGGAGGAGGTGGGCAATGAGTCCCCTGGCCCGCCCCCATCTCCACAGATGTTGTGTTGCTCGAGCATGATTGTTGTCCAGTCTCAGCTCTGGTATCCAGGATCCACCTGCCCCGCAGCCTCCAATCTCAGTTCCCCTGTTTCGGGGTCTTGGTGCCATTTGGTGCCAACAATAGCCTGCCGACGGGCATCAGTGGGAGAGCAAACGAGAGGAGAGGAGTGGCGGAGTGGAGAGGATAGGAGAGAAACACAAGGGAGGAGTGCACAGGTGCAGAGACAAGAGAGAAGAGATGCGACTGCGTTCAGCCGTTCAGACTCGATACACATACTGGGTCCTAAGGCTTATTTCGGTGCCGTTATACATAATCACACTGTGCGCGCAAACGATGGACCTTCCTGGCGCTTTTGTATGCGTCGGCGTGCAGTCGCTATTGCTGGGCCCGGACCTCACCAGACCTCCATCTTTGACCCTGCACTACTCCATCAAGCACTGTGTTGCCGAAGATTGCAAACACGTGGATGTGATTCTTTATGGGTCATGCCGGCGCAGGATTCCAAACTTTGCTTCACATCCACTATGGAGGCCTACGCCCAGCTGCTACTACCACCGCCACGTGACCTCATCCTGTTGCTAATATTCCAGCTGCTACCATACATTTATCATTGTCAACCCCATTGAAATGGAATCATCGTGGTGATCATACTCATCGTCTTCTTCTTTGTCATTCTCGTCAGAATTGTCAATGTCGGAAACCTGACAACTTATCACAAGTGACACCCGACGCCTCTCCAAGCCCGGCAAAGTTCTGTAGAACGTAATAAAGCTGGAAGCCCGAACTCTGAACCCTCACACTTGAATCCCCAAAAACGCCTCACCCTTAACCCGGACTGCCCCTGGCCATGTCCATAAAGCAGCATGTTTTTCAGGGAATGCCCACGCTTTCAGGCGAAGCGGCGATGATTTTCTCCATCATCAACCACTTG